CTTGTCTCTTGTAACATTCTTTATTTTAAAGTCTATTTTATCTGATACGAGTATTGCTACTACAGCTTTCTTTTGATTTCCATTTGCATGGAATATCTTTTCCATCCCCTCACTTTCAGTCTGTATGTGTCCCTAGGTCTGAAGTGGGTCTATTGTAGACAGTATATATGTGGGTCTTGTTTTTCTATCCATTCAGCAAGCCTGTGTCTTTTGGTTGGAGCACTTAATCCATTCATATTTAAGGTAATTATCGATATGTATGTTCCTATTACTATTTTCTTATTTGTTTTGGGTTTGTTTTTTGTAGGTCATTTTCTTCTCTTGTGTCTCTAGAGAAGTTCCTTTAGCAGTTGTTGTAGAGCTGGTTACGTGGTGCTGAATTCTCTTAGCTTTTGCTTGTCTGTAGAGCTTTTGATTTCTCCGTTGAATCTGAATTAGATCCTTGCCAGGTAGAGTAATCTTGGTTGTAGGTTCTTCCCTTTCATCACTTTAAATATATTGTGCCACCCCCTTCTGGCTTGTAGAGTTTCTGCTGAGAAATCAGCTGTTAACAATATGGGAGTTTCCTTGTATGTTATTTGTTGTTTTTCCCTTGTTGCTTTTAATAATTTTTCTTTGTCTTTAATTTTTGTCTATTTGATTACTGTGTGTCTTGGCGTGTTTCCCCTTGGGTTTATATTGCCTGGGACTCTGAGTTTCCTGGACTTGGGTGGCTATTTCCTTTCTCATGTTAGGGAAGGTTTCGACTGTTATCTCTTCATATATTTTCTCGGGTCCTTTCGCTCTCTCCTCTCCTTCTGGGACCCATATAATGCCAATGTTGGTGCATTTAATATTGTCCCAGAGGTCTCTTAGGCTGTCTTCATTTCTTTTCATTCTCTTTATTTTGCTCCACATCCGTGAATTCCAGCATTCTGTCTTCCAGGTCACTTATCCTTTCTTCTGCCTCAGTTATTCTGCTCTTGATTCCATCTAGTGTGTTTTTCATTTCAGTTACTGTATTGTTCATCTCTGTTTTTTAATTCTTCTAGTTGTTTGTTCTTTAATTCTTCTAGGTCTTTGTTAAACATTTCTTGCGTCTTCTCGATCTTTGCCTCCATTCTATTTCCGAGGTCCTGGATCATCTTCACTGTCATTATTCTGAATTCTTTTTCTGGAAGGTTGCCTATCTCCACTTCATTTAGTTGTTTTTCTGGGGTTTATCTTGTTCCTTCATGTGGTACAAAGTCCTCTGCCTTTTCATTTTGTCTATCTTTCTATGAATGTGGTTTTTGTTCCACAAGATGCAGAATTGTAGTTCTCCTTGCTTCTGCTGTCTGCCCTCTGGTGGATGAGGCTATCTAAGAGGTTTGTGCAAGCTTCCTCATGGGAGGGAGTGGTGGTGGGTAGAGCTGGGTGTTGCTCTGGTGGGCAGAGCTCAGTAAAACTTTAATCCACTTGTCTGCTGATGGGTGGGGCTGGGTTCCCTCTCTGTTGGTTGTTTGGCCTGAGGTGACCCAGCACTGGAGCCTACCCAGGGTCTTTGGTGGTGCTAATGGCAGATTCTGGGAGGGGTCACGCCAAGGGGATTACTTCCAAGAACTTCTGCTGCCAGTTTGCTTGTCCCCACAGTGAGCCACAGCCACCCCCTCTGCAGGAGACCTTCCAACACTAGCAGGTAGGTTTGGTTCAGTTTCCTGTGGGGTCACTACTTCTGGATCCTGATGCGTACACTACTTTGTGTGTGCCCTCCAAGAGTGGAGTCTCTGTTTCCCCCAGTCCTGTCGAACTACTGCAATCAAATCCCACTAGCCTTCAAAGTCTGATTCTCTGGGAATTTCTCCTTCTGTTGCCGGACTCCCAGGTTGGGAAGCCTGATGTGGGACTCAGAACCTTCACTCCTTTGGGTGGACTTCTGTGGTATAAGTGTTCTCCAGTTTGTTAGTCACCCACTGAGTGGTCATGGGATTTGATTTTATTGTGATTGCGCCCCTCATACCATCTCATTGCGGCTTCTCCTTTGTCTTTGGATGTGGGGTATCTTTTTTGGTGAGTTCCAGTGTCTTCCTGTTGATGACTGTTCAGCTGTTAGTTGTGATTCCGGTGCTCTCGCAGGAGGGAGCGAGCACACGTCCTTCTGCTCTGCCATCTTGAACCAATCTCTACCTCTGAAATATGCTTGCAAACAATTTAACAAAACAAACCGTGAATCTGATCAACTCTCTAGTTCTAACTACTAATTTACAGGAGAGAGAAGAGACAAAAGGATATCTTAAATCACACCATTAGGATTCATTCAGTTAAAAAACAGATTGTGGGAAACTGTGCAGAACAGATGACTCGCTTTTTTTCAATAAGTTGCAAGGTGGACAAAAAATGGAAGGGAAATCTATAGATTAAAAAGAATTTAGGAAACATATTAACCGGTTGCAGTGTATGAATCTTATTTAGATTTTGGTCTAAACGAACTGGGGTATAGAAGGAAACATTGGGATATTTGAGGTAATGTGAGTACTTCGTTGATATTTAGTATTGAAGAATTATTGTTGAGAGAGAGTGAGTGGGCGGGTTGGGGCAAGGGGAGGAGGATATGGGGGAGGGGAAGGGCGCTGTGATTTCATTTTTTTTTTATTTTTTATTTTTAAAGAGGAATCCTTGTTTTTTAAACGTAGATGTTGAAATATTGCTTTAAAAGAATCTAGGATTGTGGGTAGGGGGCTGTACGGAGTGTTACAGGGGGAACAAAGTCAGCCACAAGTTGAAGCTTGGTGATGAGTACATGAGGATTCATTCTTTCATTCTCTCTCAACTTTTGTATAAGTTTAAAATTTTTTATTATGGAAAAATTCGAGTAAAAATCTGACCACAGCTGCTCATAAGAATGGTTCAAAACAAAACCCCCAGTAACTAACATTATTTCCTTACAATCAAGTTTACCACCCTTTCTGAAGTAAACTTTTCGTCTTGTATTATTTTAAGATTTACAGTAAAGTTACTAAGGTAGTACAGAGGTCTCCTATACGTCTCACCCCCCCTTGTTTTGTTTTGTTTGTTTGTTTGTTTAGGTTGCATTGGGTCTTTGTTGCTGCGTGTGGGCTTTCTCTAGTTGCGGTGAGCGGGGGCTACTCTTCATTGTGGTGTGAGGGCTTTTCATTGCAGTGGCTTCTCTTGCTGTTGAGTACGGGCTCTAGGTGCACGGGTTTCAGTAGTTGTGGCTCGCGGTCTCTAGAGCGCAGGCTCAGTAGTTGTGGCGCATGGGCTTAGTTGCTCCACGGCATGTGGGATCTTCCTGGACCAGGGCTCGAACGTGTCCCCTGCATTGGCAGGTGGATTCTTAACCACTGCGCCACCAGGGAAGTCCCCTCCCGTTGTTAATGTTTTACATTAATTACTATACTACATTGGTAAAAACTGAGAAAGTGACATTGATACATTACTGCTAATGAAGCACCAGACTTTATTTGGATTTCACCGGTTTCTCCATTGCAGTCCTCTTCCTGCTCCGGGATGTAATCCAGGGCACCACACTGCATTTAATTGTCATGTCTGTCTAGTCCTCTTTGGTCTGTGACAGTTTCTCAGTCTTTCCTTGTTTTTCTTGATCTTGACAGTCTTGAGTCCTGGGCAGTATCCTGTAGAATGTCCCCCAATCTGGGTTTGTCTGCTGTTCTTCCTAAGATTATACTGGGTTTCTGGGCTTTGGGAAAGAGTACCAGAGAGGTTAAAGTGCCTTTCTTGTCACATTACATTGGGAGGTGCGTGCTGTCACCATGACATCACTGATGAGGTCACCTTCATTGACTCCACTGTAAAGTTAATATTTTTCTCATTCCCTGCTCTATTCTTTGGAAGCAGGTCACTAAGTCTAGCCCACCCAAGTGGAAGGGTGGTTTAAGCTCAGCTTTCTGAAGGGGGGATGGGCTGGGGGTCCCCAAGACCACCCCCAGGTTCATTGGTTACTCACAGGACTCAGCATGTGGTTGTACTGGTGGCTGAACTCTATTATGGCAAAAGGATGCAGAGCAAAATCAGCAAAGGGAACAGGTGCATGGGGAGGCTCTATAGGAAGCCAGGCAGAAACTTCCAGGGGTGCCCCCAGCAGTGAGTTGTGACAACACGCATGAAATAGTGTCTCCCAGGGAAGCTCGTCTGAACCTGGGGGTCCATGGTTCTTATTGGGGACTGGACAAGTAGGCACACTGCCTAGCGTGTATCAAAATTCCAGACTCCCAGAAGGAAAGAGGTGTCTTACACCTCCATGGGAGCTGTTTTCTGGTCAAGTTCCCAGCCCCCAGCCGAAGGCCAACCTTGCAGGCAGGCCTTTGTAAGGAGGAGGTCTCAGGCACGCAGTGTTAACTCTTTTCTGTACAGGGAAGTTCCCACATACTATTACTTTTACAACACATTTTTAGTTGAGAAATCTGGAATCAGATGAAAAATACAGAGCATAATAATAGAAGCTTTATGATGGTAAGAACAACAAAATCAAATTTAAAACCAGATCATTTCTTTCTTTGCCACAGTTGAAATACATGGAGTCTAGGTCTTTTCCTGTTCTTTTAGTATTTCTCATGCCCATTTTTTTTTTTTTTTTTTGCGGTATGCGGGCCTGTCGTGGCCTCTCCCGTTGCGGAGAACAGGCTCTGGACGCGCAGGCTCAGCGGCCATGGCTCACGGGCCCAGCCGCTCCGCGGCATGTGGGATCCTCCCGGACCGGGGCACGAACCCGTGTCCCCTGCATCGGCAGGCGGACTCTCAACCACTGCGCCACCAGGGAAGCCCCCCTCATGCCCATTTTTAAACATAGGTATAAAAATATTACATTGCAACTTGTGAAGCATTTCGTAATTCAAAAAAATGCCTCCAGGTTGTGACCTCATTTATTGCCAAATAATTAGAAGAAGGCTGGGTAAATTTCAGTAGTAGGTAATAAGATAACCAAAACCTGGGTGGAAATCCCAGAAAGTAATTACTAAGATTTAAGACACAATATGTACTAGCTGTTTACTTTCTTTTAATAGGAAAAACGTGGTCTTCGAGAAATGCGAGTTCTTGAAAACTTGAAGAATATGATCCATGAGACAAATGAACATACTCTTCCCGCGTGCAGGGAGGCCATGCACGACAGCTTGAACCACGTTCTCCAGAGACGTAAGCCGGAGGTTTTCTCATATTGCTTTATTTCAGATGCATGCGCTGCCGAAATGGATGTCCTTGAGTATCTGCTGAGAGATGGAGAGAGAATTCTTAAGCGGGAGCCAGGAGAGGGAAGTCACAGATAAGGTGCTTATGCAGCCGTTAGTGTGTGTTGCCCTTGATGCTAAGAGCATTAATCTCCAAGGCAAGATGGGTGCACAAGATAATCCTTCTAGGATGTAAGACAATCGAAACATTTTTTACCTTAAAAAAAAAACTTATTCATAAGAAAAAGTTTGATGCCCAGTAATTAGGATATGAAATGAAGCTTCTTTTTCAAACAGGATACTAGAGTTTTTAACTAAAAAAAAAAAAAAAAAAAAATGTCAAAAACGTTTATGTTTTATCACTTTTTTCATTAAGCAAAATATTTTAACATGGAGAGATGTTTCCTTAAAAGGATATTTATTAAACATATTAAACTATAAAATAAAAGGAGTTTTATTAGTAACTGAGTTTAAAATTAGAGATGTATCAGAAACTCAGCGCTTCTCGGATCCATATTGACACTGTTCAGTTTGTCCAAGGACAAATGATGCTGGTAGATAACGATGGAGGGCAACATGAAACAATATCATTCTGGGGAGAAACTAGCGAAACTGGAGGGTAATGTAATGTCCTGTGAGGGAAGGTAGCAGGGGGGCTTGGTTAATGACTGAGTTATGTAAGTGTATGTGTGCAAGTCCAGGTTAGCCTGGGTCCTCTGATGCTCAGAGGAGCTTGGAGAGGACAGACCTCCCACAATCACAGTTGGTTTCTTTGAGTAGAAGAGCAAAGAGTCTAGAATTGACTTCAGGCTTTGCCTGGTAACTGCAAACACACCCTTGTTCGTTCAACCATCACTTCCTTAACCTTGACAAGCTTTCTAGTCATTACAGTAAAAGTGAAACTCAAATTATTATTGATAGAAATGCTTATGTTTACTTTCGAGATGTACTTATAACTTTCCTTGTACACACTTTGAGTATATAAAAAATATTGGATAAAACTTAGTAAGAAAAAGGAAACTGTGAATGGTTGTTTTGACTTGTTTTGTTCTTGGGCCAAAGCTATTTCTGATGTGAGGCCTCATGCTAAAAGTATAGTCTTCACAATGAAATAGAAAAGTTTTACAGGTAACAGGGAATCCAGACTGTAAATGTATTCTGCTAAAAGAAAGAATTAAAGCACACAGAATGTGAAGTAATAATGAAAGTTTTAACCTCTGAGGACTACCTTATTGTTAGCATTAGAGACATGCGGTGGCTTTGGAGTTAATTTTGTTGCTAGAAGCAGGAATGGCTTCCTCAGTAGGCTCCAGCCTAAGTATTTCCTGGTAGCTATTATCATGAGCCTAACGGGGATAATGGAGATAATTATCTGATTTTAGAGCCAATGTAGTTTTAAAAATTGGCCTGGGCCCAGCTGTTGTTCCTGCAGGATTTCATGTTTAAAAACTTTACATTTTGAGCCATGGTGCTGGCTTGCTTATAAAAGTGAGTTTATCTAGGCAGTATACTCTGATCTAACTAATACTTTACAAGGTTAGTGACAGTTGAGTTTTGTTTTGTGCCTGTTAGTAGATCTGTCTCATTTACCTCTTCTCTGCATGTTTGAGGGCTGAGCTGGGAGTGTGTTGGCTGAGAATCTTAGAACTCGGTGGTGTGGATCTTAAGCTATTGGTCGATCGTTGTGCACAAAACTGAGCAACAGTGGAGCATTAAGGGGGGGACGTCTCGGCTTGTTTGGATGGAGACGGTTACAGAATCCTAGCTGAGTGTCTTAGCATTGGATGAGCAGAGGCTTCAGAACCAAAACTCACCTGTGGTTCCTTAAAAAACACAAAAAGTAAGTGAGAGCTCTAGGAGGGTACATAAGAGTAACCCGTAAAGTACGTTTTTCTCATCCTAGCGTCTATGTTCTACTTATTATTTATTTCATAGACTCGTAAACTTCACCATGTTTGTTGTCTCAAGATCTTGCTTAGCATTGAGGACCCAGCCTTTGATTTTAGAGGCTAAGAAGGACAGAAAGCCTTTAGGTTATTCCTCATTTAAATTAACTAAGTTTTAAGAGCAGTGACTTTATTTTTTATTATTTAAACAAAAGGATATATGCCTAAGTAATAAGAAAGTAGAAATAAAGAAGAAAATAAGAAAGAAAAAGAAGCAAGAAATCACTTTAATTGCCTCAAGATAACCATTGCTTTTTAGCTTTGGTGAATATCATTCCCGACATCTCTCTTTTTTTTTTTTTTTTTTTTTGAGGTACGCGGGCCTCTCACTGTTGTGGCCTCTCCCGTTGTGAAGCACAGGCTCCAGATGCATAGGCTCAGTGGCCATGGCTCACGGGCCCAGCCGCTTCGCGGCATGTGGGATCTTCCCGGACCGGGGCACAAACCCGCGTCCCCTGCATCGGCAGGGGGACTGTCAACCACTGCGCCACCAGGGAAGCCCTGGAAGGTGGATTCTTTACCTCTGGACCACCAGGGAAGTCCCAGTCCATTTTCTTTTTCTCATTTTTTGGGGGTTGGAGTGGTTATGGTGAGGTGAGGAGTCTCAGTTCTTTATAGACTCTGTGTTCCTATTCTTGGCCACCACTTTTTAAAAATATATTTATTTATTTATTTATTTTTGGCTGCGTTGGGTCATCATTGCTGCGTGCAGGCTTTCTCTAGGTGCGGCGAGCGGGGGCTACTCTTCGTTGTGGTGCACGGGCTTCTCATTTCGGTGGCTTCTTGTGGAGCACGGGCTCTAGGTGCGCGGGGCTTCAGTAGTTGTGGCTCGCAGGCTCAGTAGTTGTGGCTCGCAGGCTGTAGAGCACAGGCTCAGTAGTTGTGGCACACAAGCTTAGTTGCTCCACAGCATGTGGGATCTTCCCAGATCAGGACTGGAACTCGTGTCCCCTGCATTGGCAGGTGGATTCTTAACCACTGCACCACCAGGGAAGTCCTTGGCCACCACTTTTCAAAGTTTAAATATAATTATATAATTCCTCATTGTTCAGTAAATGATGGATTTTTTTTTTACCTTTTTAAAAAACTAAATTTATTTTATAAGGTACTTAGGGGGCTAAGTTTGTCTGATTTTGCTTCACTCTCCCTCTGTAGCTAGAAAACTTTAAGAACTCATTATGACGTAAAATACTAATTTTTAATAGCACTTGCCTAGTTAGATTTTTTACCTGTATTTTCCTCATTGACCATCTTAACTGTGTAAAGTAAATATTTATCACCCTCTTCCCAACACATTTATAGTTGAGGAAACTGAAAGTGTTTTAACATCCATGGTTCTCCCTAATAGTTGGAGGAACCGCCATGCAGACTTAGTGCTTCTGCTGCCAGAGCTCAAGCTCTTTGAACTTCAGAATGACGCTTCTGCGGAACAGGTCATAAGGAGAGTCCGCCTTTTCTCCTGGATTCTCTCCTACAGCACAGGCTCCTCCTTCTCAGTCTGCTTTGTTAGTTTCCACTTCTCTCCTTGACTTTTGACATTGGGGTGCCCTACGGCTTGGTTCTGGGACATCTTTTCCGTCTGTACACACTATTTGTTCATTGAAATGAATGAATGAGAATTCAGCCAACATCTGCTCCTAATACCAAACCAGAGCTACTTTCTTAGGTGTGTATTTGCGGTTTACACATACACACTGTGACACAATGAATTTGTTTCTCTTTTATGTGAGGACACAGGGACACTGCTAGCTGTTGCATGTCACAATTACTGTGTGTGGTGCTAATCTCCTCAAGTAATCTTTTGGTTTAGAGAAAATAATTTGATGAATTCCTAACTCCTTAAAGTCAGTATAGCCTCCTGGGACACTGAGACAGCTGGGGAAGTGGCTTCCTGCTGAGTCAGGAATGACCAATACGTGGTATAGAAGTGATAGGGTTAGATAAATGGCCCTTTTCCTCTTGGAGTCTCTACTTGTGAAGAAAGGGGAAGAAAGGGTAGTTAGGTAATTTTCTTAGATTTTAGAAGAGCAGATTTCATTAAATTCAGAAAGCAAACCTTTTTTATCATGTGGATAAAGAATGAAAAATTTCAGGGACTGAAATTTCTAAAAATGGATATTCTAAGTACAAAGATAATCCTGATAAGGAACTAAAGTGTGCCTTTGTCTGATGTGTTCTAATTAAATTTTTAAAGTATATAACAAATGACAAAATATAAATGTCATAGTCCTGTAACTCTTCTTTTAGATAAATCCCAGAATGATCTGAAAATGATGAAGCACCCAAAGGCCACAAAGCGGGTTTTTTAAGAGTTATGTTCAGAGCCAAGAAAAAAAAAATACAGGAAATGATAGAACCACCACTTGGGAGAGATGATGTAATATTAATATACCACAGAAAGAAGGCAGAGCTCATCAACTCCTATTTTGTTGTGTTTTCAACTTTTCTATTAGAACAAACAATGATTGGGGACCTTAATTTTTAGTACTAAAGTGTTATCTTTGATGTGACTAAAATGAATTGTTACTGATAAAAACATGACTTTTTAAAAGCTGAACCCTCCCCTTTGTCATACCCTCTCAGGGAGGGGCCTAACATTTTTCTGAAAGAGAAGTCACAGCCCCTGCCCTGTATGGAACTTTGAACTTGGGGCTGGGTTGAGTGGGGTAGAAAGGCATAATTGTGAAACAACTGGGTAAAATTGTTTAAGCAAATGCAAGATAAAGTGGTAGGATATACACATACCTAGTTAAAGAATTTCAAATAAGAGAAAATCCTTATAGGTAAAGGATTCAACTGGAGGGCTTTATGAAGGCACTAAACCTTGAACTGGGCTTTTGAAACATGGAAACATTTTAATTAGAGGAAAGGAATAAGGAAAGCACTTTCAGTAGGGAGAGGACAGTGCATAGAATAATAGCAACAGTCACATTTCTTGACTGCTTACCATGTGTGAAGAACTGCTCTGAGTGGCTTTTATTATTAATCTTTCAATTATTTTTAAGCATACTACGTACTGCATTATCTCATCCTTTTCTCATGTCCATTCTGAAGCCCTCTTATTAGTTGTTACGTTCATTTTACAAATGAGGAACTAAGGTTCTGAGAGATTAGGAGCAGCAGCAGTAGCACCTGGCACATAGCAAACACTCAGTAAATACCTGACAGACGGCTGCATGAACGAGCGAGCACACAAGCCCAAGGGCAGTCACACGCGTAACTAAAGTTCAACTCAAGGTTTGACTGAGGAAGGCTGACTCTTAGCCCACACACCAACCAGCGAAGTAAGTGAAAACGTTTGTGTACAGAAATAAAATGGATCCGGTAAAGGAAGAGGCTTGAACAACTGATGGATTAAAACCAGTTTCATTGTTGAGATTATAAGAGAGGTAGAGCCCTGAAGGCAAGAGCCGAGTCTTAGGGTCAGGGGTCTGATTTTAAGTCCTGCTTTCTGTGCCTGTTAGTCATATTACCTCCTTGAGTGACGTTTCACTGCGTTTGTGCCTCAGTTTTTTACAGATGACAAAAATCTGTAAAATGGGATAGTGATACTCACTTAGTAGGAAAGTGGAATTAAGAGGAGTAATACATGGAAAGTACTTAGCACACTTCTTGGCACATAGTAATACTCAGCAAATAACTACAATAATTATTACTAGCAATTTTAAGTCATTACAAAAGGGAAATGACTTAAAAGAAAGCAGCCCAGAGAAACCTGAATCTGGCAGTGGCAGCCAGGATGAATTAGAAGAGGTGAGAAGAATAGTAGAAAGTCGTCGAAGCATTCTGGGTATCAAGTCCTGCCTGCAAGAGAGCAGGGGTACCAGTGAGGAAGGGGCAGGGGAAGTTAATGAATCAGAGAGACTCTGTAAAGTCTACATCCATCAGAATGGAATGATACATTTATCAGGTGTTTTATATCTTTTTAGAGAATTCTGAGGTCATTGATGACAACTTGTCATTGGAATTAGTACTGAATGCCCTTGGCTTGCAGCTCAAAGCTCACAAATGATAGTGGTTCTCATTATGACATCCTGAATACTTTTTTTTCCCCTTTTAGCCACCCTACCATGACCAAAATAATACCAGCTTTTTTTGCATAGTTTCTTGAGATCTAAAACAGTCCAAGTGTTGTTTTTTGTTTTTGTTTTTGTTTTAATCCAGGTAAGTTTCTCCTTGAACAAGGGCTGCTGATTGAAAACCCACTCTGTTTTATTTCAGTGCAAGCAGCTACGGACTCGGTCTGTAGGCTCCAACAGAGGGAACAGGAGCGAAACAAGGTAAAAGTGGACCATTTGGGTAATGGAGGCTGTAACTCCAGGGCTTTTATTATCATATTATTAGCAGTTGCTTTTGATTTTAAAAAATTCTCTGAATTTGTTTTCTCTTGTGCAGTGATTTTAAAAGATTAAAAAATGGCTAATTCATTGAAGGTGTGTTGAGGAGGTATGGTCACATAATTGCACGATCTGTATTTTTATAATTCAAATTGCAGACCTTTTTTTCTCCTTTTCAACTTTTCCCTGAAAGTGGTATTTGTCTCTTAGAGGAGAAAGAATAGGACTGTTACATGGAACAAAAAATACCCACCAGGTTGGAAATATAAATCTTCAGGCCTGAGGCCTTGAGTATATCATGTATATTTCTTCTAGAAAAGGAGGCATTCATGCCTGTGGATGGGTTCTTTAATGAATAGTCATAAGAGTGTGTGAATCACTTGCTGGGTAGTGCTTTGCTTATTTGAATTATATCTTAACTAAATTCAGATGTGGAAAAACAGCACAAGAATTTAAGTTCCTGTAATAATTTGGTGTTTTAACTTACAGTTTTCATGAAGTATTTTTATAACTTTATTGTTCTAAACTAGTGGGGATACACTTGTTAAGAAATGGTGAGTCACTCTGAAAATATGCCTTTTTGTGTGTTTATATCAGCAAGTGTTACTATCTCCATTTGTCCTTAACGTGTGGTTTATCCATAATAATGGTACCGATCTGGCACTGTAAAAAAGAAATACGGACCTTGCCCAAGTTTAAATTTCTCCACCCTTTGCTCAACTCTTAATGTTGATATAAATTTAAAAACTCAACAATCTGATGGATCAAGCCTTACTGAAAAGACAGTTAAGCCAGGTGGGAAGGCTGCCCGAGAGGAACAGGATCCCAGCGGGCCAGGTTGGGAAACAGGGCTGTTGCGAGACCACTGATAACATGGCAGGGCAGAGCCGTGGGCAGGGAAGTTGGTGTCGGGGTGCAGTGCTTGCACAGTGTCCGGAGAGCACGGTGGGGATAGCCGTGGGGGCGTCAGTGTGCCATGCCCAGCTGGACAGCAGATTTTTTTTTAGTCTCTACTTGGCTAGGTGCCACTGAGGGTGAAAGATTTTAATTTAAGTTTAAGGCAGCTCATACATGTAGGAGCTAAAAGTCTAGGAGTCCCAAACCACTAACGCGAATATAATGTAGGATAAAGTAAGGGCTGTGATAGTTACAAAGAACTTTGCACGATCTTGGCAAAAACTGTAATTTACTAGGAAGATAGTGACATCCGAGCCCAACCTTGATCAGTGAGTAGGAATTCGAGTGATAGAAGATGGGAAGAAAGATACTGTAGGATAAAGGATATAGTGGAAGCAAAGGCAAAAGATGGGAGAAGTCGGTGGTCTCACGGAGCTGGTAGGTAGACTGTCTAGATGGATGTTTCCAGAGAAGAATGTAGAGAATCAAGCATTCAACGTTAAGCAATTTGTTGTGGAAGCACCAGGAACATTCCTGTGTTTGAGAATCAGAAAGACTTTTTCTGATAGAACACTGGCTGTGCTGGCTGTTACTGGCTGTAACTTATGCAGTTCTCTTGGCTTTCAAAATAAAAATGAAAAAGGGGTGTTTTTTATGTGAATGTGCACTCACATGATATTGGTCTTTATTTCTAAGACATTCTCAGGGCAGTTATGATTCTGATAAAATGGCAATCCCTGTCATTCTTAAGCAGAACTAAACTAACATTAAATTATAATTGGCATAGATGGTTCCTCTTGTCACTTTGAACTTTTTTCATGTTTGGTGTATTAACTGTATGTAAGTAGGAAAATTACCAGATTGGGTAAAAAATACCTGGTGTCTTCTATTTCTGGTACTTGCCTTTATTAGCTAACTGTGTGCCCTTGGACAAGTCCTTGAGCTTCAAAGCAAATACTTGTTCTACTTACCTGATAGATTGATGTTCTACTTACCTGATATATTGTGTTATATAATTTATGTGAAATAGCTTTACTTTCCAAATGTCAGGTGGCTTTTTTTCCCCTACCACCTCGATCGTTTGTTTAAGATGCAGGCAATCACTCTGGATAAGAGCCCTGCTGTGGTCTGTAGGGTTGGTGAAGCACTTGATTTTCTAAATTGAAAGATACTGTCCCTTGGTTTAAAAAAAAATGGCCTCAAGAAATAATAAAGCCCTTGGGGTATTTTGGTCTTAAATATATTTCTTCCAGGTACTATCTCAGAGAATGTTATTGAACTTTTTTTAATGGAATACACATTAAAAATCAGTATTTTAGAATATATTGAAATGTAGTCTTTATTTCTTTTATTAGTGCGTGTCTAGTTAGCGGAACATTGGAAATAGGGATCCTTAAGGTCTTTCTTTTTTTCTGAAGTGCCATATCTGATTTCGCCAAAACTTGGTGTGGCGGAGGCTTCAGACGACGTACATATGACAGACTACATACATATGACAGACTACATACATATGACAGACTACATACATATGACAGAGAGGCAAAGCTAACTACTCCTCTAGCAAAGGTGCACAAAGCAAAATTGACCTCTAGCTGCAGTTTACAATCTAATGTTGGTTGTTGCCTCGGTTATTCTATTGGCTACATTTTGTGTATTTGAATGGCTCTCAGAACAAAGAAAGATGGGAGTAGTAATGGAATACAGTAGACTGTTGCCATTAATCATTCTTTTATGTCAAGACAATTTGTGGAATTCTGTGGGAAGTAAGTTATGATAAACGTCATTCATCCAAATCATACTTCCCACAATTGATATCTAAAAGTACATTCAGAAGGACAATAAATGCACATTCCCCAGTTATTTGACATATGTCTTAAAAACTGGTAACTAATACAAGCTGCATATTGGGCACTAGCAGTAAGAGTAGTGAAATGAAAATACAATTGGCTTATAAAATTCACTGACTTAAATAAGCTGTCAAAGGCAGATGATGAGCTGATTAATATCTGTCACTGGTTTAAACTTAGGTTCATGCACAGGCATCAACTATTGAAGTTCTGTTCATCCAGACTAGAGATAATAATAAAGTAAACATGAATCCTTTGATTCATCTTGTCCACAAATATTTATTAAATTTAGTTTTCCCTCTGTATGATTTTTTTTTATGAGAGCAGTGAGATAGCATGATTTATACATTTTTTCTTGATAGAGTTTGAAAATATAGGGTAATAGATCAGTGCAATCGGCCCTCTGCATCCGCTGGTTCTGCATCCGTGGATTCAACCAAAATATTTAAAATGTATATTTTTTAAATTCCAGGAAGTTCCAAAAAGGAAAACTTGAATTTGCCACATGCTGGCAGCTGTTTCCAAAGCAGTTACACTGTATTTATATAGCATTTATATGTATTAGGTATTATAAGTAATCTAGAGATGATTTAAAGTATATGGGAGGATTTACAGGTTATATGCAAATACTACACCATTTTATAAGGGACTTGAGCATCCGTGGATTTTGATATCCATAGTGGGGGGGCGGTCCTGGAACCAAAACCCCAGGGATACCACGGGATGACTGTACATAATATTCTAAATATTTTAAATAATTACTGGCAGTTGTTATTCTGGTACTTCTTATTGATGTAAATACTTTTTCATTTATCCTTGTAAGGCATATGTAAAATTAAAGGCACATGTATTGCTGACAGATGTTCCAAAGAACCTTTTAGACATTAGTTGCTTTATTCAGAGTTTTCCCTTAGACCAGGGTTTTTCAGCCTCTGCGCTGTTGGCGTTTTGGAGCAGATAAATCTTCGTGTGGAGTCTTTCCTGCATGTTGTAGGCTGTTTAGCAGCATCCTTGGCCCCTACCCACTAGATGCCAGTATCACCACCCCCAACCTGTGTTGTGATAACCAAAAACCTGGGGGACAGGAGCCTCAAAATCACCCCCCACTGAGAATTACCGACTTAGACTAATGCGTGCAAAAATGTGTTTTTATTATGTATCCATGAGTTGATTTATGGACCTGGTCCTAGACACAGTTTGCCTTCAGGATTGACTTTTCTTCAAATGTATCTCCAATGGGACATAAGTAAGCTGGGTTATTACTACTGTTTCTTTCTGTTGTAGAAAGAGACAAAAACCATTACAGCTAATTATTTTTGGTACACAGCTATAGCTCATTAATAAACTTTCTCTTTATTTTCTTTTAAAGTTGGCATTTTCTTTTTTATCTTGGGAAAACAAATGTATCCACTCCTTTGAGTATGCAATTGATTTCATTTAGGAAGAACCCTCTGAAACTTGATTTGAATTATTTTTATTGTGATAAAATACACAGATATGTCATTTGGGGAAGTATTAAACATAATAAGTCTGGAAGAGATTCATAAAAGTCACATTTCACAATGAACTCTAGAAACTGTAATACTGTCTTTATTTCTTTGGAAACCATTTTAGTGGCTCCCAGTGTCCACAGTGTAAAAATTTTAACTACAGAGTGAAACATACAAATTTAAGTAAAAAAAAAAAGTAATGTAGAATGATAGATTTGAACTAATTCAGGTTTTATTTCTGCAGTTGCTGTGCTGGATCATTTTTTATTTTTTTTAGTTTTATTTTTTGACTGTGTCGTGTCTTCATTGCTGCGCGTGGGCTTTCTCTAGTTGTGGTGAGCGGGGGCTACTCTTCATTGCAGTGCATGGGCTTCTCATTGTGGTCGCTCCTCTTGTTGTGGAGCCAAGCTCTAGGCACGCTGGCTTCAGTAGTTGCGGCGCATGGGCTCAGTAGTTGTGGCTCGCGGGCTTAGTTGCTCCTTGGCATGTGGGATCTTCCCAGACCAGGGATTGAACCAGTGTCGTCTGCATTGGCAGGTGGACTCTTAATCACTGTGCCACTGGGGAAGTGCTGGATCATTTTTTAAATGCAAGGACATTTAGTAATTCAGGGATTAGAGGGGCTGAGCATCTAAAGAAAGCTGACATGATTCTGAACTGTTAGGAATTTACTTTTGGAAATGAACGTGTGTAGCTGACTCACTTTGTT